CTGTGAGTGTGTGTGTGTTGAGGATCAGTGTTTTATCATCAGTGTGTGTGTGTGTTGTACAGGAGTGAAGCTGTGTGACGCCTTTAACACCGTCCTGGAGTTCGTCAAGAAAGAGAAACCAGATCTGGTCAGCAAACTGACAAAAAACCTCGGGTTTGTGTCTGAAACGCTTCGCACTCAGATAATCGATGTGAAGTGTGTAAAATGAGCCGCGTGTGACATACGTGTGTGTGTGTGTGTGCGCTGCAGGTTCGCTATGGGCATTGAGTTCAGAGAAGGATCGCTCGTACTGAACGCCAAAAATCAGTTCAAACTCAAGAGAGGTGAGTGTCAATATAAACCAGGGGCTGTTGTACACTATTTAGCATTACTGCATTAAAATATTTTGCTCCTGTATTTAAATTGTATTAATTTACCTTAAAATGAAGATTCATGATACTGTTTGAAAAGTATATGAATATAATATCAAAACCCTTCACTCTGAAACGTGCAGCGTGTGTATATTTAATTCAGTCGCAGCCTTTGCGCTGTTAATAATCGCACTGAACCGTATCGTATAGTGTTCGTAACGGCTTGTGTGTTTGTGTAGGGATGGTGTTTAGCATCAGTCTGGGATTGGCTGACATGATCAACAAAGAGGGGAAGAAAGACGAGCAGAAAAAGTACGCCCTGTTCATCGGAGACACCATACAGATCAATGAGGTGCGTAACGGCTGGAAGCGGCCCGCTGTGAGTCCGTCTCTGTGAAACGCTGTTCAGTAATCCTGTGCTCGTGTTCGTGATCGCAGGAGGATCAAGCCACCGTCCTCACGCCCGTCAAGAAGAAGATCAAAAACGTTGGCATTTTCCTGAAGGTAGTAACATCAGTTTGTCTCATGCCTGTTCAAAATCACACTGAAAATGAATGTACATTAAACACAAAATACATTCGATTTAATGCGTTTCAATACGTATAATAAATTAATGCAAATTTTGGGATATTGCATTAAAAAAATGCTGGATGAAGAGATGTGCGTAATATTTTAATGTGCATTAAAAAAAAATGTATGTGCTCAATAAAAGCAGATACCTTTTTTAAAATTATATAAAATTATATAGGCATTTAAAAATAACTATTAATTGTTACTTGAAATAAAATAAATGTTAACTGAGATAAAATATATATTTTTTTATTTCAGCTAGATAACAAATAAAATGTTCATTTAGTTTAACTAAAACTGAAACTTTAATAAAAACCTATATTGACAGTTTAAAAAAATAATAAAATTTAGCAAAAACTAAAAATTATATGGATTTATAAAAAAAAACAGCTAATAAAAATGACAAAAAATAACAAATACATTAAAAAATGTTAAAATAAAACGAAAAGAATTCAAAATATAAAAAAAAAGATTTGCGTTCAGTGATGTTATTGTAGTATTATTATGCAGAAAAAAAGATTTGCAGGCTTCCCCAGTTTTTAAATTTTTTTTATTGCTGTTAATTTGCGCCAGTTTTCCAGGAAGTGAGTTTTGTTCTCTTGACCAAATGCAATGTTAAACGGTAATTAATTCGCTTTTATTTTACATGATATTCCGATTTTTCCCAACTTTAGATGAAAATAAGTCTGTAGAGGTCTCGAAACAAGATGGGAGAAACTTGGCTGCTAAACCGTTTCTGTGTGTTTCTAGAACGCTGATGAAGAGGACGAGGAGGAAGAGGACGATAACGCCGAGGAGCTGCTGGGGAAAGGAGCTCGCGGCGCCGCCCTGCTCACAGACAGAACCAGGGTACCTGCATCCTTCCTGTTCTCTAATCGCCATAATGCACCCGTTTCATTCGTGCGTTCTCATGCGCTCTCATCCGATTGGTCAGAATGAGATGACGGCTGAGGAGAAGAGGCGGGCCCATCAGAGAGAGCTGGCCAATCAGGTGAACGAGGAGGCCAAGCGGCGTCTGACGGAGCAGAAGGGAGTACAGCAGATACAGAAGTACGAGGACGAGCGCGTTTGCGCCTCACTCAGCTCAAGCGGTCGCGCTAGTTTGACGTAAACGCTCTCTTCTAACGTTTCCCCCTCAGAGCCAGAAAGTCGAACGTGTCGTATAAGAACGTCTCCCAGATGCCCCGCGAGAAGGACATCAGAGACATGAAGATCTTCATCGATAAGAAGTACGAGACGGTCGTCATGCCCGTGTTCGGCATCGCCACGCCGTTCCACATCGCCACCATCAAGGTAAAGGCATCGCGCCGCTCGTACGCTGAGTGCGCTTCTTCGTCTCGCTCTGAGTCTCTGTCGTGTGTTTGCAGAACATCAGCATGTCTGTGGAAGGAGATTACACGTATCTGAGGATAAACTTCTTCGTGCCCGGCAGCTCGCTGGGACGCCACGACGGGAACATCTTCCCCAACCCCGAGGCCACGTTTGTCAAAGAGATGTAAGCCTTCAAATCATCACTGGGCTTCACAAACCAGCTTTGACACGCATGCACTTCAGTGCAGCGGCGTGGCTTTCATGTGCAATTTACATAGCTTTCTTTGATTAGCGTGTCATAAATAAACTACAGAAACGCTGTCGAATAGGCCACTGCAGAATAGGAGACTAAAGCATGTTTTTAATGTACATTTTGTTGGATGTTGCATTAAAAATTGCTGGATTAAAATGCAGAGATGTGCAATAAATCTTAAAATGTGCTTTAAAAAAAAAAAGGGTTCAAATATAAAGCAGATGCTTTTTTTAATTCAATTTTTATTTGGTTATCATAGTTCTAAACAAAAATAAATATTTTTTTAAAATATTCTATTTTAGCTGCGTGCCGAGTGAAATTTTCATTTAGTTTAACGAAAATAACAAAAAAAAAAAAATATTTATATAAAAATATTAAATTTTTTAAATATTTAAAAAAATTTAATATAAAAAAAAACTTAAAAAAATATTTTTGTTCTGTTTAAAAAATATATAGACGTATAAATAGCGATTTCTCATTTTTAATCAATACTGATGTATTCTTATTTTTTAACAATTATATACATTTTTAATATTTTTTACAACATATTATAGAAACCTAATACTGTTATTAAAAAGTTGACATGAAAACAATTTAAATGATTTTTGCAACTCCGTTTTTCAGTGTTGATTATTAAATAATTTTAATTAATTAAATGAAAGTTAAATAGCATTCATTTTCGGCTATTTTAACAACAAATTGTAGAAACGATTCTGTTAATAAAAAGTAAAATAAAAAAAGTGAATGAAATCTGCCAAATGTGCAATTTAAAGGATTTTTACGACTCAGTTTTTGAGTGTTGACTATTAAATAATTTTGATTAATGAAATGATTATAAAATAACTTTGTTTTCTGTTTTTTTAAAAAGTGCATTTCAGTGTCAGCCAGAATTTATTTTGGTGCATCACTAATTTATTTATTTTTTGGTATTAAAGTGAGACCAGCTTTAGTTTAGATTTAGAGAGAAGCTTTACACTTTTTTTTTTTTTTTGTGTGTGTGTGTGTGTGTGTGTAGTCTATAATTTAGGTATTTTACTTTTCTATTTTTCACTTGTTTCTTGGCATAGATATAACTGTGGGGCTATAGCATGGTGCTAAATTATAAACACAAACAATAACTTCTCTTAACTTTCGCTCGGCAAAATAATCTGTTTGTGATTTACTTGCAGTGCACTCGAGAAGAGATTAGATCCTCTCCATAAAGAAACCTGCCATGCAAATGGTTTTGGTCTGAACACCTTTTGATTCAAATTCATTTGCATCAACTTTTTGTGACACATTTGTTCATTTTTCAGCTTGTGTTTTAGCCTAAATGACTGTTCTGTCATTTTCAGACCTGTAGGTTGAACAGTGCTTTTTTTTAAGCAAGCGTTAAAGCCTTTTTGCGTGCTAACACTGTTCTTTTCAGTACGTACCGCGCGTCGAACCTCAAGTCGCCCGGCGATCACTCCGTTCCCTCCACCAACCTGCAGAACGCCTTCCGTATCATCAAAGAGGTGCAGAAGCGATATATAAAATATGAATGTTAATCACAAAAAACTGACTCTGTGTGTCTCTCCAGGTTTCCGTTTCACGTCAGTACGCGGCGATAAAGTCGACATCCTTTACAACAACATCAAACACGCCATTTTCCAGCCCTGCGACGGAGAGATGATCATCGTGCTGCACTTCCACCTGAAGGTGTGCGACAAGCTTCTGTTCCCCGCTGAACATCGACTGACTTTAACGAGGTTCTCTGTCTGTCGTAGAACGCAATCATGTTTGGTAAGAAGCGTCACACGGACGTGCAGTTCTACACGGAGGTGGGCGAGATCACCACAGACCTGGGCAAACACCAGCACATGCACGACCGCGACGACCTCTACGCCGAACAGATGGAGCGAGAGATGCGACACAAACTCAAATCCGCCTTCAAGAACTTCATTGAGAAGGTCGAGTCGCTCACTAAGGAAGAGCTGGAGTTCGAGGTTCCTTTCAGAGATCTCGGGTGAGTGGATTAAGTTACTCGCTGTCATGCGCTGTGATCAGTTTCGAATCGTAACTGTGTCAAACATGCTTGAATGTTCCCATACGCAAATAAGACTTAAATCAAAACAATGGCTGTCATTCACTATCAGTGCAGGAATTTGTTTGTCAAATCTTGTTTTACAAATCATGATTCATTAAAAATGTTTGTGCTAAAATTTATTCAAAATTTATGGAAAATATAGAAACAACTGAAACGCACATAAAAATCAAATATTGTGCGATGCCTTATAAACATGAGATTTTATACATGGGCACTTTTTTTTAACAAGTGAACAGTTTATAAGAGGAACGCATAACTTGTGAAAACAGTTTTCTCGGTCATGCAAAATGTTTGTGAGCAAACAATGTTTTTTGGGGAAATGCAGACGTTTTGAGGGCAAACACAATTTCGCAAAGTTTCTTGGGGAAACAAGCTTTGCAATTTAACGCAAAGTTAATGAAGAACACAGAAATGTTTGTGCTTAAATTTATTCTAAATTTACGAAAAAAAAATTTTTTTTTTTTTTTAAACGAATGAACAAAGTTTATGAGGAACGCAAAACAAAGTTTCTCTGTGATGCAAGGTTTCGTGAGCAAACAATGTTTTTTTGGGGAAATGCCGAAGTTTTGAGATCGTACACAATTTTGTAAAGTTTCTCGGGGAAACAAGCTTTGCGATTTAACGCAAAGTTAATCAAGAACACAAGTTTCGCAAATGAACGATGTTTCTTAGGGAAACACAAAAGTGTCGATAAGCAAAAGCAGAGTTTCTTGGGGAAACAGGTTTTGCGAGCAAACAAACGTTTTGTGAAGATAATTTTTTGTGAGTTTCTCGGTAACGTTTTATGAGTTAACGCCATGTTTTTTGGTAAAATGCGAAAGTTGTGCAAGTGAACGCAATCTCACTGAAAGTTTTGTGAGGAAATGCTAAATTTCTCAGGGGAACAGAAGTTTTATGTATAAGCTAAGTTTGTGGGGAAACGTAAAAGTTAGCCAAAATAACGCAAAGTTTCTCGGAAACACAAACAACTTTTCTCAAGTGAACGCAAAGGTTATTATTGCAACTATTACATTATTATTACGTTTACTATAAATGCAAACGTTTAAGCGATCACAACTTTCCTTGGGGAAACGTGAAACTTTTGGGAACAAATTTCACAAAGGGAATGCGAAGTTTTTCAGGGAGTCAGGACTAGCGAACAAATGCTAAGTTTATTGGGAATGCAGAAGATTTGCAAGCGAAACCCAACTTATTGGGCGAACGCAAAATTTTGAGAGAGAATACAAATGTTTCGCAAGTGAACGCGAAGTTTGTCGGGGAGAATGATGAAAGATTATAAAGAAAAGGTTCTCAAACCCTCAGATGATGTTGTGTTTTATGCTAAATGTTAACCTTGGGAGTAGGGCTGCACGATAAATCGCATGCGATATTTAACGCGCATCTTGTCAGAAAGCCGGTTCTGTAATCGGCGGTAAATCTCCATCACGTGCGTGCTTTCACATTGAGCAGCATTAACTACACAGAGCCGTTGTTCACTGACGAGCTGCGCAAAACCACGCTCATATTCGCACGATTTTTTGCGCAGCTCGTCAGTGAACAACGGCTCTGTGTAGTTAATGCTGCTCAATGTGAAAGCACGCACGTGATGGAGATTTACCGCCGATTACAGAACCGGCTTTTCTGACAAGATGCGCGTTAAATATCGCATGCGATTTTATCGTGCAGCCCTACTTGGGAGTGTGATTGCTCATTTTAACTATGTCGGTTAGAGGTCAGGAACAGATTAATGTCGTCGCGAATTATCCACAGCGTTTTCGTCAAGCAGTTCTCCTGCGCTATTATTAGCGAATGCGACCCAATAGCTTTTCGCCGAAGTTCTCCTGGTTTAAGCGCTCTGTAAGTAGTTGTTTCGTCATCATGTGACGTCTGTGTGTTTTTGCGTTTCAGGTTCCAGGGCGCCCCCTACAGGAGCACCTGCCTGCTGCAGCCCACTTCCAGCGCCCTCAGTAACGTCACGGAGTGGGTGAGTATCTCGCCAACTTAGAAAATAAATAAATGATACTGCGCCACAAACACCCGTCCTTACGACCCGCTTCTCTCGCGCAGCCTCCGTTCGTGGTGACGCTCGACGAGGTGGAGCTGGTTCATTTCGAGCGAGTCCAGTTTCACCTGAAGAACTTCGACGTGGTCATCGTTTATAAGGACTACAACAAGAAAGTCACCATGATCAACGCTGTGCCCGTCAACTCTCTGGATCCCATCAAAGAGTGGCTCAAGTAAGCTGGCATGCCGGCCGCGCCGCTCTCGTCTGAGACGTTTACAGTGCGAGTGAACGTGTTGTGTGTCTGTGTGCAGCTCGTGCGATATCAAGTACACTGAAGGCGTACAGTCTCTGAACTGGACCAAGATCATGAAGACCATTGTGGACGATCCCGAGGGCTTTTTCGAGCAGGGCGGCTGGTCCTTCCTCGATCCGGAGAGTGAGGTAAGACCGTCTCGCTGTGATCAATCTGACCTGGGATACTAGTAGAGTTTTAATTAATATTTTGAATGCGTTTTTTCAAACCTGTGGGGCTCTTGTGTCGTTTTAGCATCGTTAAAGGGTTAGTTCACCCAAATATGAAAATTAGGCTGTGTTTTACTCACCCCCGAGGCATCCTAGGTGTATATGACTTTCTTCTTTCAGACGAATCCAGTCGGAGTTATATTAAAAATTGTCCTGGATATTCCAAGCTGTTTAATGGCAGTCAGCGGGTGTCGCATTGCTTCAGTCCAAAAGAAGTGAAATAAAAAGCACCCATCCATAGTAAAAAGTGTCTCACACAGCTCTGGGGGGTGAACAAAGGCCTCCTGTAGCGAATCAATGCGTTTTTGTAAGAAAAATATCCTTATTCAAAACGTAATAATCACTTTAATCTAGCTTGCGCTCACTGTTGTAAACAGAATCATTTCCGGGAGGATGACGTATTTTTTAGTTTTATTTTACTTTTTATTTCACTTCTTTTGGACTGAAGCAATGCGACACCCGCTGAGTGGCATTAAACAGCTTGAAAGATCAAAGACAATTTTTAATATAACTCTGACTGGATTCGTCTGAAAGAAGAAAGTCATATACAGCTAGGATGACTTGAGGGTGAGTAAAACGCAGCCTAATTTTCATTTTTGGGTGAACTAACCCTTTAATGAAAATTCATATTTTGAATAAGATGCTATTTTTTTTAATTTTTGTTTTCATGTTTGATTTTAAAATGTTGTTTTGTTATTTGTAGTAGTTCGTTTTTTACTTGTTTTTAAATGTCTGTATACTTATTTTAGTTTTTTAGTTATTTTAGTATATCAACTTTAAATGAGTGTTGAAACTAGCTAATATATTTTTAAGTTTAAATCTGTTTTTTATATATTTACAATTTTTCTCTTTAATTTTAATGTAATTTTAAATGTTTGTATACATTTTTTTAATGTCTGTAGTTTTTTTTCTAAATGAAAATCCAAAAAATATGTATATATTTTTTAAATAATAAAATAAGATAAAATAAGTGTTAATGTTTACTTTATTTCAATTTAAAGCAACAAAGTTTTTTTATTTTTTATTTTATTGTTTTATTATTTTGTTAGCGATAATAACTGTGGTGACTAAGCATTTGACAGTAGATGTGTATCGTCTCTAATATTTCTTTAATTATTCAGTATTTTTTATCATTATATTTGAATGAAATGTATTTAGCTGTTTGAAAATAATAAAAATCTCATTAATAATAATTATTATAATGAAATGTATTTCATTTAAAAAAAGATGATCATTTAAAGATTTATTATTATAAATTTATGTTAAAAAAATATATTTAGTATTTAGATCAATTAAAATGTATTTTGATTATTTAAAGTAAAGATTAACTTATTTTATTTCAAGTTACAAAAGTTGATTTTTTTTTTGATTTTTTTTAGCTGTAATGATTCTGGAGAGCAAGCATCTGTTTAATCTGTAGTTATTATATATTCAGCTGATCACAATTACATGGATGTTAACGTGGTGGTGTTTCTGTGTCTCAGGGAAGCGGCGCGGAGCAAGACTCGGAGTCTGAGATGGAGGACGAGACGTTTAACCCCTCGGCTGACGAGGAGGAGGTGGAAGAGGAGGACAGCGATGAAGATTACTCCTCGGAGACAGAGGACTCTGGTAATCAGCCGCTTTGATTAGGAGCTGTAGTTTAGCAGAGTGTGTGTGAATTTGGCTGTGCTACTAAAGCGTCTGTAGAGAGGGATGTTGATGTCTGATCATTGATCACAGATTACAGCGCGTCTCTGGGCAGCGAGGAGGAGAGCGGCAAAGACTGGGACGAACTGGAGGAGGAAGCCAGGAAAGGTGAGCTGCACTAAAAAAAAAAACATGTTAATCTGACCTGCTGCTGTTTCCCTCCAAAGCAATGACACTTCCTGGAGGTTTTGGTGTGTGAAGGTGAATAGGCTCCAGATTTGAACTAATAGAGCACCATACTTTCCTCTGATTAATCACTGTACATGTTTTGTGCTTCAAGTCAAGTATGTGAGGCATCAAAAATGCAGTCATTTGCATGCATTTCTAGCACCTAAATCTGAACATTGGATGAAGCCAGGTTCAAAATTCATGTTTGTTTGAGTTGACGCATTAAAGTTTTATATAGAGGGGATTTTGGATTTTTCATTTTAATCACTCCATAAATCAGAAAATACTGTTAAGAGACAAAAAACATGTTTTTACTGTTTGTAGGAACAAAATGCTATATATAATCAGGTGAATGAAACATGCAGGGCTCAAGACTGCGACTAAAACCAAAAATATTAATTTGCAAGTGATATTTTTGCTGTGATCGCCACTGGCGACTATATAAATGTAGATGTTATGATTTAAAAATTTGCACGTAACACGTAAATACCGTTTTGGCGCTCTTTAATGCGGCGTGAGCGATCGCTTTAGCGTGAACCCATCAGATCTTTCTCTTTACCACTATAGTACGAAATAAACACGAATGCACATCAAAAGGTATTTTATTAGAGACCGTACAGCTTACTGAAATGTCTCATGCAATCGCTCGTTCAGTGTTTCAAACTGCGGAAAACGAGTAAAGCTTGTAAACAACACATTTACCTCCGAATAACCATTCAGCCTCCATAAGCTCATTAATCAGCCAGAAAAAATGATGTTGCATGTTACTAATGAAGAAAAACAGACTGGATGACAGCATTTATAGGATGCTTTGATTAGGAGCCCAAACTACACTCAGTGGCCAAGTGATGCTGATATAGTTATGGTCCGTGATATTGGCACAGATTCTGTGTAATAAACAGTTGGAAAAGACATTTAGTTCCCACTTTAAGTGATCCTTAGTTCCCAGGACATCTACAAGATGGATTAAAATGCTGATAAAGACAAGAAAAGATGAGACATAAACACATGACAGGGTGACTGAAATGTTGAAGTGTTACAATAAATGCAACGCATTTATTCTGTGGCACTTAAGAAAATAATTTGCCGCCTAATTTTGTTTCTCATAGAAGCCAATGGCACCTTAAGAGATTTCTTTTATTTATTTTTGTCTGGAGCTCTGATATGAACAAACCCCTCGAAAACCCTTCAGAAATATATAGAGTGTGTCTGTAAGTGCTGCTGAAGTGGAGAAACAAACTCATTTAGAGAGAAACGGCCTTTAACTGTTATTGACATCTACAGATGCAAATAGATAAGGCGCATTAAAATAAAAACTTCAGTGTGTATCTTGGAAGTTAGTTTTCACGTCTGCATCACGCTGTACAATGCAGTGATTGGTCTTTTATTTCCTCCTCAGCTGATCGTGAGAGTCAGTATGAGGAGACAGAGGAGACCTCAAACAGGAAGAGGAAAGGACGTTCGTCAGCTCCGCCTCCCAGCAGCAAGAAGAAGAGACGACATTAGAAAACACACACACTCTCTCTCTCACTCACACACACTGCCAAATCAGTCTGCCACAGTCCTCTCTGACTGCCCCACACTCACTCACTCTCACACAGACACACTCACACTCTCTCACACACTCACTCACACACACACTCTCTCTCACACACTCACTCACACACACACTCTCTCTCACACACTCACTCACACACACACTCTCTCTCACACACACACACTGCCAAATCAGTCTCCCACAGTCCTCTCTGACTGCCCCACACTCACTCACTCTCACACAGACACACTCACACTCTCTCACACAGACACACACTCACTCACTCTCACTCACTCACACACACACACACACTCACTCACTCACTCACTCACTCACACACACACACACTGTGTTTGGTGTAAATAGTATCAGCCAGCGCTGATATGTGCTGTAGAGTAGTGGTTTTCATATCAGCGGATGGACAGACCCCTCACTCATTGTGTTTCCTTTGGATTTTCCTGTGTTGGGTTGAATGGCATCTCAGGTGTGTGTGTGTGTGCGCGAGCGCTTTTCTGAAGCAGTAGATGTGACGTGGTGTTGGTGTTTTATGAGCGTTACGTGACTCATTCCTCAACTCTTCCGGCTCGTCTCTCTCTCTCTCTCTCTCACATGGCTCCTGTTCGTTTATGAATAGACGGCGATGCGCTTTTACGTTAGTACATAATGATTCACTTTGTGCTTTTTCTGTTTTTCTAATAAGAGGGGATATAAACACACACACATACACTTTGTTCCATTTAGTTCTTTTTTGCTCATTCTGGATTGGTATTCTTGTATTGTTCAATCAAAAATGGTTTTCTTTCCTTTTTCTTTTCTTTTTTTTTTTTTTTTTAAATAAAAGTTGTGAAACTTAAAACTTGTTTGATTCTTATTTTAACTGTTATTTGGGTCAGAAGCCGTGTGAAGTGAAGGATGGTCTTTTCGTTTGACTGGATGTGGAGGTGAATATCGGTAACATTTGCTGCTCTTCTGTAATCAGGAGACGCACTTATTTTTAGTCCACTATAAATTCATGTTCCAATTCTATTTGATTTCTTCTATTCTCCACGTCATTCCAAACCTGAAGGATTCTGTGTTAAGTATACTTGGTTTTTGTTAGTATTTTGAATTAGATGTTATTTTTAGATTTTTCTGTTTTCATTTTAATTTTAGTTATAGTAATTTTGATTTATTTTTTAGAAGTTTTGTTTGTCTATATACTTTTTAGTATTTAAATTGAAAATGAGAAATGGCAACTATCTTAAATGTTTAAGTCTATATCTTATTTCAGTTCATGTTTACTTTATTTCAAGTAATATTTTTCATAATGGTTGTATTTTTTTTGTATTTATTTACGTATTCATTTATCTTTGAGCATATAAAATGACATGGTTTTCGGTGGTCCAAATGTTTTTTTATTTTATATAATTATTATTTACAATTATTTTATTTGTACTTGTAGAATAAGACAAATACAAAGTACTGCAGAATAATGTGGAGAAAAGAAGGGCTGGTTGGTTTTTATACACGAGTATGTTTGTTTACTTTCACAAAGGAAGAATTTTTTTTAAAGAATGTTGGTCACCAAAAGTTGACGGTAGCCATTGACTTCCATAAAATGGGAGAAAACAAATACAATGGAAGTCAATGGCTACCGTCAACTGTTTGGAGACCAATATTCTTTAAAATATCCTCTTTTGTGTTCAACAGCTGAAAGTAGCTCATACGGGTTTGGAACAGCATGAGGGTGCAGAAAAGAGGACAATGTTAATTTTTGGGTGAACTGTCCCTTTAAGTGAGTAAGAGGTCTGTTTAATTTGGTGCATCGGTTTGAACCTGACATGGAAACTTCAGGAAAGTCTGTTGATTGCTGTGCAGTCTCAGCCCAGAGATTTCTGTGCTGATATACTGTATGTTTGTGTACATGACTGTAAGTGATGCATGTTTCAGACGCAGCTCGTCTCACGCTCTCTCAACATTCAAATCCACATTCAAACCAGCTGTGTTTGCATGACTGCATATAGTATAACCACAGCAATGGCAATTGAGGTCGATCACCTCCATCAGTTATGCTTAAAAACGAGTTAAATGATGAGTTAAAGAACAAACTTCAAGCAAAGTCTAACAGACGTGCAGGATCTAATGAGCACGTCTTTACATTTTAATAAAATTTAAAAAAATGCAATGTCAAATGTTGTTTTTCTTGCATTGTTGGGTTTTTGTATGAGCTGTAGTTGCATTAATTGCTAACTACTATAAATTTATCCTTTTTTTTAACATTGCATAAACACTTAAACTGGTCTAATTTGAGAACCGAAAGAAAGACTAAATGCTTTTTAACTGCTAGCTGGTCAGACTGATTCTTAAAACAAAGTCTGACCACATGATAGCTGTTTGTAATGAAGACGGGTGTTTTTTGTGCTGTTGTGCTGCTTTTATTATGAGCGTCTTATTTTCCATGTTCTTGAGGTTTCAGCAAAGCATCTCTGTGCACTAAACCTCTGCAGTTCCTTCCCAAGTGTTTATAAATAAAATAATGTCTCCAGCGAGCCGAGTACCAACTCCATCATTTCATTGAAAAAGGACTTTGCAAATGACCAGGATCAGTGATCGTTAAAGACAGACACTGATGTGCCTGTTGGATTCACTACATTTACATTGATGGTTTATCCAAAGCAACTTACAAATGAGCAAAACAAGCATTTACTTTATATTATAATTTTTTTGGGGGGGACCAGAACAATACCAAATAAGTGAAGTTGGTAGGTTGGTTTACATATTTTTTTGGTGTGTGTACATATATTTAAATGTCTGTGTATTAATTGATTTTTTATTTTTTGTTACATGTTTATTTATTTGTTGGGGGTTTATGTATTTATATTTATTGTAATTTTACATATTTGTATTTTTTTCTAGAATTTTTATTTGCCTCTCTGGCATGTGGTTGACTAATGAACTGACTGAGATGATCAGGAGTTTCTGCCTTATTTAATTGACACATATATATATATAGAGAGAGAGAGAGTTTTATTTTTACATACAATGTTTGTTTTTATTGAAAATGATTATTTTCTTCTTGTTTTATCATTAATTTAATAATGGTTGACTAAAGTGCCGACTGAGATGATCGGGAGTTTCTGTCCTCTCAGATTTCAGCTGAATGGGGCGTTTGTTCATCCAGGTCGAGATGTCAGAAGAACAGGCTGATATGCGAGCTGACAGGAGGTGTGGTTGTGAGAACGAGAAGATTGATAGAGCTGCATCTTGTCTGTCTCGCATGCAACAAGGTTGTGTAAATCCAGAAGAGAAGCGGGCTGCGCACCGAACCCTGAGGCACACCGCTGGTAAGAAGCCATTATTTGGACTTCCAGAAGAGTTTTTGACTTTCAAGTATTCTTTGATAGGTAATGTGCATTGGCCTTTAATCAATATAACTTAACTAGAGTCAGATGGGTTGGGTTGGCAGTAATAGCAGTATGTTTGTTGGTTAATATGAAATAGCTGACACAATTCTGACAAATCTCAGAATTTTAATATCTTTTTCAAAGTATGTAAATGGAAGGGAGTCATTTTTTTTTTAACTACTTTACTGCATTTTGATAAAGCATTGATGTTTTAGTACCTTGATTAGTTTGCAAGTTAAGACAGATTATTTTAAATAGCAGCTTAATTTAGTTTTCTTGTAGGTGGTTCATGATGAAGAGGTTTTTGTTCTTGTTGCTTCTGTCAGGTTAGTTCATTTTTAATAATTTTTAATCAATGATGATTTCATAGAGGCGCTTGTCAACAATTGAATTTAAAGTTTCAGTTCATTTCAACCCAGTTCAAAATGCCAACAATGTAGCTGTATTTCATGCACAATATAGACATTTAACTAATTACGTTTCTTGTATCTTCAGCTCTGACGCACATATCGTTGTCACAGACTTGTATGTTTTACTTTATACCAAAATCTATGGACTGGTCAGATGCGCAGACGCACTGCCGACAGAATTACATTGATCTGGCCACCATGGATGACCAGACGGATCAGGATGAGATGATGAGAGTAATACGGCAGGTTTATAACGGAGACGTGTGGATCGGACTCAGTCGGATGGATGCGAATGCTTCCTGGATCTGGTCCGATCAAAGCCCATCCACATTCATGCCCTGGGATTCCAATCAGCCAAACAACTGGAAGGGCCATCAGTACTGTGTGATTGTGACTCCAGGGGCGAAACTTAACGATCTGGGCTGTAAAAGTAACGTCCCTTCTGTGTGCTACACTGGTGAGTATTTGCACACATTTCACTGCTTTATTGACCTAAAAGTGCAAAACTTTGATTAAACCGCTGTCTTGTTGAAATATAGAAGGATCACTGACACACCTTGACAGTCAGTACTAACATCGGATAGAGATATACAGTTCTATCATCTATATCATCACAGATTGAATTTGATTTCTCTAAAATACTGTCCAGAAAAGTAGTTTTTTTTTGTTTTTGGGTGCAACGGTTTCCATGTTTAGGATGATTTCTTTTGTTCTGATCATTTTGTTAGTTTGTCTGGAAAATCAAGCTTGCACCTTGTTTTCCTCTCTCAAATATTAATATGAAACCAGCCTTTTTGCTCTTGATTTACTTTGTTGTTGTTGTTTTTTTGCAGAAAAATATAAAGAAAAGGAAGGGTTTTATATGTGTTTGTTAGGGATGTAACGATTAACCGCGAGCCGGTCGAAAATCGATTAAAATACGTGACGATTCAAATCGGTTGAGATGCCAAACAAATCGCGATACAATTGGAGTAGGAGTTTATATGAATGTATCTCTGAGGGGAACTGACTATCTTTAGAAAGTTTACGTAGTATATTCTTTTCATCTTGCCTCTGAACACACTTCTTTGGTTACAGCGGTAACCAAGGAAACACTATCATTGCTGTTCATAAGCGCCACCTGCTGGCAGAGAGTGAATCTGCGTCTCATTCAGCTCGTCTGCTGTTTCGTTCAGATATGTTTTATGTAGTATAGTTTCACAAAACTAAAGTCAGACCATTCTGTGTTTGGTTCAAATTTCAAAATCATACAATCTAATTTAGATTAAAAACGACTTATGCTGCATCTTTGGGTCATGATTAAAATCCAGTGGTTGACTCTAATTTTAAATGGAAAGAATACAGACAAAGCCTTATTTTTGTTCATATTAAGATATTTCATTTATTTGTGTAACTTGTTTGATTTGGGGGTTTGTTTTAAAATTTCAATTTAGTTTTGTTATATTTAAATTTCACAATGCAGCAATAGCCTAATAAAACGACACCTTTTCATTTACTGTATAATGTCTTCAATCTCATTTTGTTAAAAAAATTGTGAGAAAATCGAATCGTGAGTCGAGTGAATCGTTACATCCCTAGTATTTGTATTTACTTAAATGTTTATTTATTAATTGTATATAATTTTTAGTTTGTTTAGATTTAGGTTTTTTATATATTCATATTAATTTGTTGAATTGTGTGTGTATGTGTATATATATATATTATTTTAGTGCTGTCAATCGATTAATCGCATCCAAAATAAAGGTTTGTTTACATAATATATGTGTGTGTACTGTGTATATTTATCTATATATAAATACACACACATGCATGTATATAAAAATATATTTTTTTATATACATGTGTGTGTGTGTGTGTGTGTGTGTGTA